GATTGATTGATTGTATTGATTGTGTTAACTTATCGATCCTTTTTTTTTGCTCTACTCGTGTTGCTCGGCTTTTTGTTCTGCCGATCCGAGTCCCTCGCGCACTAGCCCTATGCGCGACCAGCTTGCAACATGCTGCAATTTGCTGCAAAATGCTGTAACATGCTGCAATTTGCTGCAATTTGCTGCAACATGCTGTAAAATGCTGCAATTTGCTGCAACATGCTGCAACATGCTGCAATCTGCTGCAACATGCTGCAAAATGCTGCAATTTGCAGCAACATACTGTTCGAGCTTATTGCTCGTACTATGTAGCAGCTTTCGTCAAACGTTCCTCCTGTCTTGACAGTAGGTGCGCATATCTGACAACCTAATTAACTATAAATAATAATTATAATAGACTTTATTACTAGATTACTACTAGCTAGAGAACTAAAAACAAAACAACTCTATAATATAATTACTATAGTATTAGATAAAACTACAAAATTCCTTTATACTTAGCTAATAAAAAAATCTATTATAGCTAAAAAAAATTTATCTATAAGCTAAAGAAATATGTTTTATTTATTTATAAGTGCCTAGAAACTATTATATTAAATAGAGATAAACTATTTATAAGAAGGTTTTAAAAAGTAGTAATGCAACACCTAACAGTACAGTATTAGCTGTTAACAGTCTATTACTCTAAGATAGATAGACAAACAGAGTAAATAAACTAAAGTATACTTTAATATTTATAAAAAATATGTTAATATGTAATAAAATAACTAGCCTACATAGCTTTTAGTAGCATAACTAGCTATAAACATAACTAACTTTATAACTATAAAAATAACGCATAATAAGGCTAACTTTAGCTACAACCTATAATTCTCTTTTTAGAATCCCTAACTATAGAACTTTAAAGAAGTATAAGAAAAAATTACAACTATAAAAAAACTATACTAAAAATTAGCTTTAAATGCGCTATCTGCCTAATCTAGAATAACAGTACAAGTAAACAGAAAACAGACAGAGGAACCTAGCATACAACTAAAGAACAGAGTTTACCTAGAAATAAAAAATCTTACTACAGACAAGCTGTCTAAGAAGCTTGTAAAAAAAATAATTAAACTATACATAGTTTTTAGCTTTAAGAGACTAAGCTACTACCTTAAGTTACCTTTATTAATAAAGATACACTTATAGTTTTATGTCTTTAAACCTAAAAAAACACTATTATTTATTTCGTTAGTTACAATAGAATAGAAACTAGCTAAAATAAAGTATAAAATAAAGAACATTTTAAGTTTAAGAAATAATAAAAAAGATTTTTTAGTAAAATAAAAAAAGTAGCCTACTAGTAAAAACAAATAGAAACATCTTAGGTATATAAAAATGCTCTAGAGACACTTACTTACTTTTAAAGAGCTTAAAGAGCAAAAACTAGCCTAGTAAAAAAGCACAAAAGCTAATAAGTAAAGAAGCTTTAACTACTTGTAAAGATAGAATAGTAGGTGGCATAGATAGCACTAAGAGCAAGCTTTTAAAGAAAGATAGAAGTGTATTGTAAGAGAGACGAATTGCTGCCAAGCCTTGCTTGTTAGGATTCATGCTTATATACAAAGCACAGGTCTTGTGACCTCTAAACAGGTTAGGGGAGGCTATACTAGCCTGTTCTAGGACATCTAGCCTTACACTACTAACCTATTAAATAGCTGTAATGTAGGTTAACAAGTTCTAGCTTAAGCATTATTAGAATAAACAAAGTTAGAACAAGAACCTTAAAAGACATAAGGTAAAAGAGAAAGGCCAGCTACCTTTGCCTCTAGCGCTTCTAGCTTATCTAATATAGATAAGTCTCTCTTTATATATTTAGCTAGCTAACTCTAAAGAAGGGCAAGTTGTCTCTCTAGACAAGCTTTCTTAGCAAAAGCCCTAGCTACATTATAAGAAGCTGCTGCCTCTCTCTCTGCTAGCACTACCTTCTTCTCTACAGCAGCAGCTGCACAATCTAGGGCTGTAATGTAAGCAGCCTAAGCCTGTTCTATCTCTTTTAGCACCCTGGCACAGTTACAGTCTAACTACTTCTAGGCCTAGTTAGAAATAAAAGTGTTACACTAACTTCTCTTTTTTACACACTCTATATAATTCTCTAATAAGCGTAACATTAGACACTTAGAACCTAACAAGTAACAAGGGCTACATGGCTATATCTTTATATAATAAAAGAGATTAAAATCTTTCATAGTGCAGAGGTAATAACTAAGACAGAAAGAGCAAGCTATAGTTAGCAGGACCTATAATAAAGTAAAGATAAGACTTAGTAGTCTTTAAAAAAACTAACAGCTATAGCAGTATAAATAACGCAGCAAAGACGCGGTAAGAAAGGTAGGCTTGTGTTATAACTAGCAGCTAGTTAATAGCGCTATAACTAATAGTTAGTAAGCAGATGCTGCGCAGCTAGTAGGCTAAATAACAACTAATAGTAGAACTTCTTTTAGGCAGCCTAGCAGCACAAGTAGAGCCTAACAAAACCACGCGACAGACTAGGGACCCCTAGAGGACAAAGGATAGATTAGGCATAGGTTGCCCGCAGTGACCGCACGCCAAGCACTGCAGACACTGCAGGCACTGCAGGCATATTATAAAGTATATAGTTAGGACTTCAGCCTTTAACTAGGAGGCTGTAATTAATGCATTAAATTATTGCCTACTACCTAGTACTATTAATTAAGTAAATATTCTATTCCTATACTCTGTTACTATCTATTACAGATTGTTACCCTCTGATTCTTATACAGTACAAAGAGGTAAACTAAGTAGCTAACCTAAATTCCCTAAGCACAACAACAGTACAGACTGTAGACCTGCGACCTAGTCTGCCCTTCTTACTAACCTGTTTCCTTCCTATCAACCCAACAGCTCGCTTACTATGCGTGACGGCCAGCCTGATTAGCCTGGCGCACCCAGTAAGTATCGTAACACTAAGGTGTGTAAGCAACTCGCCTGTAGTCTATGTATAACATACGCTAGCTTTTTATTTAACAGTGATTAATCTAGTGCTCTACAAAATAGGTTAGCTATGCTAAGAAAAAGTAGCTAGCTTAGTGATCTAGCCGACTCGGTGATCTACTACGTTATTTGTAACTAATAATTATATCTACAACTTAAATAAAAAGAAGGGGTGCGCCTTACCTATTGCCTAGCCTTCTCTGTCTCCTAAACTGCACCTTTTGTTTAACCTCTTAATACTGATTGAGCACGTAACTAAGAAGCAACAGCATTATTAGCTAACAAGGTTAATATCTTAACTCTTAGGATTTGGAATTTTACCAAGTTCCTTTCGTATAGTTAATAAACTCCATAACGCAGCCTAAATTCAGGCAGAGGACCTTTAATTTGTCAGGCGCTCTGCAACACAATACATCACGCAATACCTAAGTGGTGACTAAAGATTGTGCTTTACTTCCATTAAACAAAAAAGGAACGACATTAGCGGGGAAAGACTTCTCTTCTTCCGCCTCCAACCTCGGGTAAATATCGCATTTCTGGACCCATGTTAGAATTTCTTATCGACTACCATAATACCTGAGAAACATCTTTCAATTTGGAATATAGTCCGCACAGACTCAGTACCAATGGAGAGCTGTATATTACTAGCTCCAAGTATTTAGGAGAAGCTCCCGTCGTGCTCCCGCTCAGTAAGGGATTTCACTCTCTTGACTAATTTGTAACGTGTTCTCGATATCCACTCCATTTATTATCCATCACGGGAGTCACTTGATTATTCGCTTCGTTATGCAGGAATATCTCTGGATTCTGTGGCAGCTCTTAGCTGTCGCATCAGCATGCGAAAGAAATTTCCCAGATGACGACTTCCTTGCGCAATGGCCCACGTCAAAACCCTACCTTACACTTCGCGCAGAACCATTTCCACCATCTTTAAGCCCCAATGAGAAAGTACTTTCCGACTCATTTGACAGCGCCGAAATCGGAACATGGTTATCATACTACACGCATGGTGATCACATCGCCGGTCGTAACAAATCCATGGCTCAGACAACCGCAGATGCGTGGAACTCGAATGGCGTGCCCTCTTCTCTTGTCGAATATGAAGTCTATTTGAACTATCCGGTGTCGGCAAGCCTGAGTTTAAATTACGCGAATGGGAGTAAGTACAATGCGCAGTTGTTTGAGGACGTAGTGAAGGAGGATGAGACAACGAAGTACGAAAATACCGTACCGGCATTCCACGGATATTCAGCGAATGGGAATGTAAGCGCAGAGTATGTATATGTTGGGTGAGTGCGATACTTCATACTCCTTTCACGAAATTTGTGGTGTTGGTAGCTAACAAAAGCACTAGACTAGGCCATAAAGATGACTTTGCACGCTTGGTTTCACTTTCTGTGGACCTAAAAGGAAAGATAGCCTTGGCGAAGTATGGCGGCCCCTTTAGAGGCATCAAGGTTAAGAACGCCCAAGCAAATGGCATGAGCGGAGTGGTTATTTTCACAGACCCTGGCAGCGATGGACCACAAGCCAAGAAAGGTGACAAGGCCTATCCTGATGGACCTGCTCGACATCCATCGTCTCTCCAGCGCGGCTCAGTCGCCTACATCAGCAACTACATAGGTGACCCCACAACCCCTGGATACCCCTCCAAACCTGGGTTCGCCCGGACCTCAGGCACAGAAGTCTTGCCCAAAATCCCTTCTCTCCCAATCTCTTACCGCGACGCAATCCCGCTTCTCAGAGCACTCGATGGGTATGGTACAGCCGGGAGTGTCATGCGGCGAGATGGCTGGACGGGTGGCCTCAATGTGACCTACAGCACTGGGCCTGCCCCTGGAATCACAATATCTATGTCAAATTTAATGAAGGACGCCACCACACCCATTTGGAACGTTATTGGAAGTATTAATGGGACGAACGCAGATGAAACGATTATCATTGGTAATCATCGTGACGCGTGGGTCATCGGTGGAGCAGGAGATCCGAATTCGGGAACCGCCATGCTGATTGAGGTTACGAAGGCTTTTGGAGTGTTGATGAAAACTGGATGGAAACCTAAGAGAAACATGTGGGATTTCTCCGCTCAACTGTGAACACAAACTTAGAGACTGAACTAACTATAGACAGCATTATCGCCTCCTGGGATGCCGAGGAATATGCTTTAATCGGCTCGACCGAATGGGTTGAAGAATACGCCCCCTGGCTTTCTGGAACTGCGATTAGCTACCTCAACGTAGACATCGCAGTCTCTGGCCCGCTGCCTGGTGCTGATGCCACACCCGAACTTCGCGGTGTCGCCCAAGACGTGATGAAGAAGGTAATATACGGGACACAGACGCTCTATGATGCCTGGTACAAGCTCTACCAATTCCGCCCCGAAGACAGCGGCTTTGGAAACTTGGGCGCCGGAAGTGACTACGCCCCATTTCTACAACTTGGTATCGGCGCGGTAAGAACAGCCCAAAACCTACCCAAATACTCAACTCCTAGGCTACTATACTAACGACCATATAGCTCCATTTCGGTATGTCAGGTGGCTCTACCGACCCCGTCTACCACTACCACTCTAATTACGACTCCTACCACTGGATGACCAAATTCTGCGACCCTAATTTCGCCATACACACTACTGTAGCCCAATATATCACACTCCTAGCCTACCACCTCGCTGACGATGTCATCCTACCCCTCGACCTGGACGCCTTCGGTCGCAATCTGGGATACTGGGCTCGCGATGTCACCGGCGAAACGATCAACTACGGGGGTGATGTAGGATCCGTGCAACGGCAAGTGAATCTAACTGATTTAATTAATGCGTACAAGCATTTCCAGGGCGTAGCGACCACTTTCACAAAGACAATTAAAGCGAGCGGGTTTACGGACGATGCGACAAGAGTGAAGCTAGCGAACCAGAAGTTGAGGGATTTCCAAAGAGTATTTGTAAGTAAGGAGGGATTAAAGATGAGGCCGTTTTATAAGAATGCGCTTTATGCGCCGAATCGAGATGATGGTGAGTCACTCTCATTTTCTATCCTAAGCTCTATGGTGGGAGTGCTGGTTGAGAAACATGGTTTCGTGCTAATAATTAGAATAGGATATAAGGCACAGACATTCCCTGGGACTATCGAAGGTTTGCAGGATAAGAATATCACTCAAGCGAGGGATTGGAATCTGTTTCTGATCAAAGCCATGAATGCGGCCTCAGATATCTTAACTTTCCAGTAGCTGAATAGTCCAGCCATTAGTGTGAGTAATAATAACAGCCTCCAAATTTCTTTCTTCTCCATCGTGAGGCGGTAATGATGACTCTTATTTTCCAAATTTAGGCACTAATAGGAAGAGCGGTCTGAGAAAGCTAGCAAAAGATTAACACTTCGCTGCTAGATGACTTAGGACCGAAGGGCTTATCCATTGCCATCTATAATAAGCACATTCGTATGGGTGAAGCTTTTCTACTTCTACCTAGCTTTTCAGCTTATTAGTCGCTATTTCTATCTAAAGAAGTGATAGATAGTACCGTGATAAGTATTGCGAAGAAAGTTAGGGAGACAAAAAGGACCGGAATCTACACCAGGGCTACAGCAGCACCTCCAACACTTGCACTAACTAAACCACGGCTAGTATTCTCCGCGAGACATGTAATAGAAGCTGCAGAAGTATGCTGCTAAAGGGCTCCCGCAAAAGCTAGAGGCGCGGCAAAAATTAAAGCAGTGGTGAGAGCCGCGAAGACAACACGGGATAAGAACGGCTTCACATCAAGAACACTGCCTGTCTGCAAGTCGACTTCTTCGTGCCAACCTAGAAAGGCTTCCAGCCTAAGGAATGCCAAAAACGAGAGGAAGTCGGCTAAGATTCTGTACTAGATGTTTAGCGCTGATGAAATCTAAGAAAGGGACTGGAAAAACTATGTCAGTTCTAAATTTACTTGCGGTTGACACTATATTATAGGGATCCTCGGCGGATCGAATGTTCAAAAACAGATTTCCATAAACTGAGGTGCACTTCCAGGGGAAGTCGAGATTCCGAGCACAAATGCCAAAATACCCTACTCTAATCTCTAGTCGGGCAGGGTTAGACGGGAAGGTGAATATAGACGGTATGTTAGAATCGGCTCTGAGGCTTGATGCGTCATTATAGGAGAGGCTAAGGGTGTAAATAGATCTCAATGAGGAATGCGTCGGGTTGGTTCCTGCAAGCAAAATGCCTGTGCGCCATCCGGTTATTCACAAAGCTAGGTTGCTTCAAATAAGAAACCTGCAATAACATAAGACAGTGATCACTAATATTACCATAACGACATAGTGATATCCAATGCCTAGAATAGATATCAGTACACACAGAGCTCCTTCTCATTAAGTTTCAGAACACGTACACAGGAGTCACCTTTGTAATATCACTGAAAATCCGATTTTCATTGAGGGAGAAGAACAAGCGAAGAACCTTTCAAAGCCTAGGTTCAAAAACATGCATCAAAACCATTAAAGTTGAAGCTAGAGGAGGTGAAATATCGAAGAATAAGGCTGAGTGGCAGCCTAACCAAGTCGAGCTAAAGCGGGTCTAGTGAGGGACCAGCCCAGTGCTTTAGTGATCCTATTAACTTGGTACTTATATACCTCTAGGCCCTGTACTTTCGAGTTGAATTAACTTATGTCACAATGTATCCACTATCGGGGACTGTTAGAATCACTCCAAGGCTGACAGGGCCCCTGCCAGGGTAGGGACGGGTGCTGTGGCAGTCGCTCGAGGATCTGATGACTGCCACGACCAATGCATCAATGCCACACGATGAAGAAGCAGATGATCCATTACAGGAGGCTTCCAGAACTTATTTGCCTCTAGACGGGACTTGGTACTCTGGCTACATATCACAACTGACTAGGCATATGGGCTATTTGGTAAACCTCCTTGGCGTCTCCATCATCGCAAGGCTAGAAGGATTTGTGTCCTTGGTATCAATCCTCCAAATTAGTTCCCTTCCCCTCCTCTGGTTAGCACACTTCCGAATCAGGTCTCTCCTTCTATCCCCCAGTCCCCTCCGCTACGTCAACCACCTCCAGTTAGTACAACACCAGATCAAGTTCCTTCTCCTCATCCTATGACCCAATCCCCTCTAGTTAGTTCACTCCCGAATCATGGTCCTCCCCATCCATCTCCACTCCCTCTATCCCGACCGCCGCGCCGTCCGGTTTATTTATATCCGAGTCTTCAGCGCCACGATGAGCTATGGGCCAGGCTGAAGGATCTATATTCAACCAATAGAGATACGCCGATGAGGGTATTCATCACCGAAGACCTCTGCCCTCAACCGCTCGAAATCGTTGGGCAAGCTTTCGGTTCCCCTAACCCAGAGGTATTCGCCGATCGCGTGAACGGTGCTCGACACAAGGATGGTTTAGCTTCGGAAGCACCTTCGGATTCTTGGAGGACATGTGATTTGAGAAACCGTATAGAACCATGAAATGGTATCGTCCAATACATCGCTCAGTTGGGTAATATGGCTTGGATATCTCAAAGGACATTTACAACACAGCTGCGACGGGCTCCAAAGAATCCGCCGACGATGGTGGCCCCAGGGCTTCCAACGGCCCGTACAAAGTGAACCGGAACGGTCACGTGATCGGTACGAACGTACTAAGTTCGTGAGTCGTACCGTACGTTTCATAATGCCCTAGGTACAGTATGTAGTGCAGACTGTATTACCCTTTTAGAACGTTTATATAGCAATTTTAAAAAGCAGAAAAGCTCTAGAAAGTAGTAAGCTTATAAAAGTGTTTAAAAAGGTTTTTAAAGCTTTAATTAGCTAAAAGTTTTATAAAAGTAACTATATAGTTATAAATTTTATAAGTTTTTTAATTTATTTATCTAAAGTTTACTAAAAATGCTTATTACTAACAATTTTATTATAGAGTTATTTATCTATGCACTTTACTACTTTATAGGCTTTATCTAGTTAATTAGATAACATACTCTATGTAACGGCGCAGGCAAGACAATGGGTCCGAATGCGGTGGGAATCCACTCAGAGGCATATAGAAGTGCGTGGGGACTCAGAAACCTAGGAATTCCATTAACACCTATAGGCCTTGTACAAAAGGATATTAGAAAACTACTAAGCTAGCTGTTACAATCTTTTCTTTAGAGAAATTGTATCTAAAGCACTCTAGGCTAAAGAGTTGTGTGAAATGTTCGAGTAGAGAGAGAACTTAGACTATAACGGGTGTACAGGCTGTAGAGCTAAAGTTACTAGGTAAGAAAGAATAGCTAACTATAGTTTACTTTTAACAGCAGTATAAGGTGCTTAAGTTAAATAGTTCCTAGTTAAGAACAAAATAAAGGTATATATAGTATAACGTACTTCATGGGCGAGTTGCTCACACACCCGAGTCGCTTACTTTTGCCAAGACCCCACTAAACCACCCTTCCTACACTAATGCATTCCCCACAACACTACTTAGACGCGCTAAAAGAATGTTAGATACAGCTTGCGCTCTAAGCTTTTAAATAAGACATAAAACTCTTAAAGAAATGTGCTATAGCTATGTGCAAGGTCCTATAAAAGACAATAAATAACTATAGCGCTAGACAACCTTTACAAGCTAATTCTACAGCTAAATTACAGAGGCTAGGCAATAAAAAGAAGCAGGTAATTGTTAAGACTATACTTAAGCTATATGCGCAAGGAATTTCCCCTTAGATAGCATTTATAGCTAATATAGCTAATTCTTTGCGCGCTAAGCATAATCTAGGCCATGTTTGCATAAACTAGCCTAGTACGTTTGTAAAGTGTTATTTAGAGCTTAAAGTAAAGTTTTAAGCATAAGTATAGTTAAGAGATATCTAGCTAATTATAAACCCTGTCTTGCTAAAGTTGTACATGTTATCATCCTAGATGCTATACTTAGCTTTAATATTCTCTACAAGGCTAAACCTGCCCTAAATTACCCTAGGACTCTTGCAGAGGGCTCTTTTATAGTTGTACTTACGCTTAAACGTTACTTTAAGCTCTAAATAACGCTTCACAAACGTACTAGGCTAGTTTATGCAAACATGGCCTAGATTACGCTTAGCGCGCAAAGAATTAGCTATATTAGCTATAAATGCTATCTAAGGGGAAATTCCTCGCGCATATAGCTTAAGTATAGTCTTAATAATTACCTACTCCTTTTTATTACCTAGCCTCTGTAATTTAGCTGTAGAATTAGCTTGTAAAGGTTGTCTAGTGCTGTAGTTATTTGTTGTCTTTTATAGAACTTTATACATAGCTACAGCACATTTCTTTAAGAGTTTTATGTCTTATTTAAAAGCTTAGAGCGTAAGCTGTATCTAATGTTTTTTTAGCGCGTCTAAGTAGTGTTGTGGGGAATGCATTGGTGTAGGAAGGGTGGTTTGGTGGGGTCTTGGCAAAAGTGAGCGACTCGGGTGTGTGAGCAACTCGCCCATGAAGTGCGTTAAGATATATAATTAGTATTACTTTTATTATAAAGTAGTAATGCTACTTAGTCTATGTAGTAATGCTACTTAGTCTATGTAGTAATGCTACTTAGTCTATGTAGTAATGCTACTTAGTCTATGTAGTAA